TGGCTAACACGGTGAAACCCCGCCTCTACTAAAAAATACAAAAAATTAGCTGGGCATGGTGGCGGGCGCCTGTAGTCCCAGCTACTCGGGAGGCTGAGGCAGGAGATAGGCGTGAACCCAGGAGGCGGAGCTTGCAGTGAGCCGAGATCACGCCATTGCACCCAGCCTGGGCCACAGAGCCAGACTCCATCTCAAAAAAATAAAAATAAAAAAACCAGATAGTGAGCCATGAAGCGCCAAAGTATTTCATGGATCAAAGCTGGACAACAGGTCTAGGAAGAGTACTTAGCAATCTCTTGAACTCATGTGTTAACACAATTTAAAGACCAGAAGATGAAAAAAACATAGAAAACAGGTTTTCTAAAAGACTTATTTTTGCACAGCACAAGGTGAAATAACATGGAAATATGAATGAAAAAATTAATTATCAAGGAACCATGAGGCTCCTAGAAGAATACAGCAATTTTCACAATCCAGTACAAAATTAGTCCTATTGAACACACTACTTACTGTTATAAGGTGCTTCTAATTGTTGGAGAGTAGCCTCAAATGTCAGCTGAATCTTTGGATTATCCAACCACAACTGCAGCTGCATTTAAATGATATAAATTGTATTACATACAAATAGACATATGTCATTTAACCATCTTTAAAATCATCTTTTAGCTGGCTGCAGTAGCTCACACCTATAATCCCACCAGTTTGGGAGGCTGAGGCAGAAGGATCACTTGAGCCCAGGAGTTTGAGACCAGCTTGGGCAATATAGTGAGACCCCATCTCAACCAAAAATATAAAAACTGGCTGGGTATGGTAGCACATGCCTGTAGTCCCAGCTATTTAGGTGGCTAAGGCAGAAGGATCACTTGAGCCCGGGACGTCGAGGCTGCAGTGAGCCATGATCATACCACTATACTATAGCCTGGGCAACAGAGCAAGAACTTGTCTCAAAAAATAAAAATAAATAAAATCATCCTTTTAACTTTAAGGCCCCAAACATGGGTTTTCCTTGAATTAAAACAGTGAGATTATACTCCTGACAAAGAAACTGATGAACACAAAACCATATCAAATAAGTAAATTACTGAAGAAGCTGGGGTTATTTAGCCTAAAAGAGAAAACCACCGAGTAACTTGCCAAGTCCATACAGCTAGCAGGGAGCAACTGGCATTTAAACCCGAGTTATACGACTCCAGAGACACTAAATGGATAAAATCCACAAAATCTAATGATCAGCTGGTTATGCTGAGGCTGGGGAGAAAGGTGTCAAGGACAACACCTCCATTTTGGTACAACTAAGCTAGCTGGTATGCCAGACACTGAATGGAATCACTTTAAAGAAGAAATAAGATAATGAAAGATAATGAGTTCAGCTCCAAGCCAACAAGAAGAGATATAAAATAGATGGATATAGAGTCTGGAGCTCAGAAGAGAGAGGAGGTCTGGAGTCATCTGCTTATGGGTAATAACTGAAGTCAAATGCATTGAAAAGGATTCTCAGAGGAAAAAATAGGGCGAGAGGAGAAAGAACTCCCAAATAGTCCACATAATGGCTAATTGTTAAGGATCATCCTATAAAGCAATCAGAGAAGACACCCAGGGAGGCAGGAGAAAAACCAGATACTAAGTTATCGAATCCAAGGACGTACTGTGTTTAAGAAGAAAGGAGCAGTCAAATTATTTCAAATACTGCTGAAAAAACAGATGAGACATAAAAAACATTATGATACAATCAATGGGCTCTAAAATGAATTCTCTTCAAAGTGAGTATATACTTGCAAAATGCAAGACAAACTAAATACTACTATATTTAAGTCTTAGCTAAAAATTAAAAAGACTGCTCCATAAGACAACTTTCAACCAAGAAGAAATTAATTTGGCTATATGTAAATAAACCAAATACTAAGGGATTACGACCAAATCTACACAGATACTCTACTCTGTGGCCACTGTAAGGTAAATGGACTTCCTCAGGTGCACATTGGGCCCAAGTTCCTTACGCCCAACACAAGTCTTCTTCCTCCTCCTCCTACAAAATAACGCTTAGGTCACAGTCTAGTTCAATAATCCTAAAGTTTCAATTTTAAAGTATTATAGTTTAAGACTAGAGAACTGACAAAATTCTTGCAGTAGACATTGATTTACATTCTGTTTCACAGCCAGAGACCACAAATCTAACATGGTTTGGAAACCCTTCCCCAAATCTGGACTTTTGGTGAATCAGAGAAGACGGAGATCCCTGTAAATCTATCGCTCAAATCTAAGTAAAAAGTGAAAACTCTCTTCAGATAAAACAAACAAACAAAATGACAATTTTGTCTAAAAAAAAAAATCCACTTAGAGCAAATATTGATATGCTACACACAGAAACTGATTCAATTATAAGACAAATCAGCCTCAGACTACACACTAAGAATTTTCTGTTCACTGTTTTAAAAACTCACCGTCTTCACTGTTCTTTTCTGTTTTACAAAAACCCGGGATAACCTATCAATTGCTCTAGCTAAATGATATTTAACAATCGAAATTAAGCAGTGGTTTTGCAATCTAATAGCCAAAATAAAGAAACTGGTGGTGGCTAAAAAGCAGACATATCAATGACATCTCTAAGCTATATTCATATTCAAATTAGCTGAATCACAAGGTAAATTTCTTCTGTGTTGTATCACCCTAGAGTAACATGAGTATGTTCTGAATAGCATCTTTCCCTCATCTACTTACTCTATGGCTAAATAAGAATTCCTGATGAATAAAAGATATGAAAGAAAAATTTACAGAAGAAATACAAATGACTAATGTGAAAAGCAGTCACAGTAATCCAAGAAATGAAAAAGAACAGAGATGGTTTTGGCCAGTTATAGGAGCACAGATTATCACTGTTTTAATAAAAATGGGCAGGGCAATGGGGGGTTGACTGGTTCGGCCTTTCTGGGAAAAAATCTGGCAATATGTACAAAACTTTTAAAAAGTGTTCATAACTCTCTGACAAGGTAGTTTTCCTTCCAGAATTCTATAAAAAGGAAATAATAGGTAGAGTCAAGAATGCATAAGACTGTCCAGAGTTAATTATAATAAAGCAAAATTGGCAACAACTGTCCAGCAGTTATATTATAACCCAACTGTCAGACAAAATATTATGCAGACACTGAAGTTAAATCATTCAACCAGAGGAAGAGGTTGAACAAGATGAGCAGAAAAGGGTAAAGATTTCTCTTATCTTGAGAGGGAAGGACAAAGTGATTATTATTATTTTTAAAATATTTTTTAATGCTTAAAGGGTTTGTTTATTTGTTTTGAGACAAAGTCTCACTCTGTCGCTCAGGCTGGAGTGCAGTGGCATGATCTCAACTCACTGCAACCTCCACCTCCTGGATTCAAGCGATTCTCCTGCCTCGGCCTCCCAAGTAGCTGGGACTACATGTGCCCGCCACCATGCCCAGACAATTTTTGTATTTAGTAGAGACAGGGTTTCGCCATGTTGGTCAGGGTGGTCTCCAACCCTTGACCTCAGGTGATCTGCATGCCTCGGCCTCCCTAAGTGCTGGGATTACAGGCGTGAGCCTCCACGCCCGGCCTAAATAAATATTCTTAATATGTATTTATGAGGTTGTGAAGTATAAAAGGGATCCACAAGAATGTATCCAAGAAGGATCTCAATTTTATGAAAACAAAAATTATATACACATTTTTAAAATACCCAAATGAAAAATAACTATTAACAAAGGTTATCTCTGGGTAATAGTATTATAGATAATTTTAGAATTCTTCCTTCCCTTTTTATTTTTCCCATACGCTCTATCAAAGTCATACGTACTTTTTATAATCCAGGTGAAAAAGTTGACATGGAAACTTACTGTGCGGTTTCTAATGAACAGAAAAACCTTCTGGGTCTGTTGTGGTCCACTGATAATATCTGGAAAACAGGCTGCTTCTTGAGAAGTCATCCGGTCATGAGGAAGTCGGCTCTGGAAAGCTGCGCCCTCCACACCTAACGAAGAAAGCAAAGGACATCTAGGAAAAGTTCAAGTGAATACAAAATGGGTAGTGATGATGTTCAAATTCCTTTGCCTCACTCAAAGACTGACCTTATTAAAAAATTTTCAATTGTCTCAAAAGCTGAAACTTCCTTAGATATTAGCCACTTGGTTGAGCTTAACATTCCAAAGTTTATACTTTACTGAGTAAAACAACTACCTTATGAGACAAAGCATTTAAAATAGTTTCTTCGTCCATAAAATAACTTCATTATATTAGATGATCTAATTAAAATTAGCACTACTGACAGGTGTACAGTAAATTTTAAAACTAAAGAACCAGAATAAAGGAAAATGCACTAACAGGAAAGCAAAAGAAGCTGTGGAGTGAAAAACACAATCACATGCCTTCTTTTAGGATTACAGCATGAAACAGAAAGATGACTTTAATAATCAACAGCAGAAAATCACAATCTCATCAACAGTATCATCCATTAGTAATCATAATTCAACGCTGGCAAGCAGTGAGAGAAATTAAGCAGGCAACAAACAATAAGACAGAAGAATGCAAGCAATTTACCTTTTCTAGCAGAAACATTAGAAATGCTTTACTATATACTACAAATATTACTATGTATACTCTATAACACATATACATATAGTGTATACATACACTATATACTGCAAGTAAAATATGTTATTTTTTTTCTTTTTTTTTTTTTTGAATGAAGTTTTGCTCTTATTGCCCAGGCTGGAGTGTAGTGGTGAGATCTCGGCTCACTGCAACCTCCGCCTCCTGGGTTCAAGTGATTCTCCTGCCTCAGCCTCCCGAGTAGCTGGGATTACAGGCACATGCCACCATGCCTGGCTAATTTTTTGTATTTTTAGTAGAGACAGGGTTTCACCATTGTTGGCCAGGCTTGACTCGAACTCCTGACCTCAGGTGATCTACCCGCCTCAACCTCCCAAAAAATATGTTATTTTCAAACTCTTAATTAACTGGGTATTGTCTTGATAATTTTATAAATTTGTGGATAAGTACACCTTTATAAGGTGATCTTAAAAACACAAGCACAACAAATGCAAATGTATTTATAAGATCACCTTATAGATGCACTTATCACACCAGCTTATAAAACTATCAAGACTAAATTTAAAGAGTTTCAAAATTCCATACCATTTAAGTAATTACATATAAGTAACAAAATAGGCACCAGATATCCATATATAATCTTTTTTTTTTTTTTTTTTTGAGAGGGAGTCTCACTCTGTCGCCCAGGCTGGAGCGCAATGGCGTGATCTCAGCTCACTGCAACCTCTGCCTCCTGGGGTCAAGCAATTCTCTTGCCTCAGCCTCCCAAGTAGCTGGGACTATAGGAATGCACAACCATGCCTGGCTAATTTTTTTTGTATTCTTTGTAGAGATAGGGTTTCCCCATGCTGGCTAGGCTAGTCTGGAACTCCTGGCCTCAAGTGATCCACCCACCTCAGCCTCCCAAAGTGCTGGGATTACAGGAGTGAGCCACCCTGTTCAGCTATATATAATTATTTTAAAGCACATAAAACAGAAGTTGGAAGCACTGATAATGGAAGCAAAACTAATGCTAAAGTATTAGTAAGATTAGGAGAATTAAAAAAACAAGGCAGGTAAAGATGTAACTTAGAAAATTATAGCTAAGCTATCAAGGAGTCTGTTTCCACAAGACATTCATGTGGCAAACACTACCTAGAAAAAAATGATGTTTAACAAGTGGTCAAGCAAAAATACCTAATGCTAATTATGGGCCACATATTAAGAAATACTGTTCTTAGAGACAAGGAGGAAAAGCTATCCATTTACTGTAGATAATGAGGGCATAAACACTGTGTCTCACGTTACTAAATCAAATCAACAATCCTTACATTTAATTAATCCATAGCTAAAATTAAAGACTGTCAGGACAATTTATTCTTGGGCCAAAAAAAAAAAAAAAAAAGGAAAAATAGTAAAAAGCCATATTATAGGTGGAGCATGAAATTAAGGCAAGAAAAGAAGAAATGCTTACTATTGTGGATACAGTTTATTTCAGTAATGTGAAATTTTCTATACTACATGGCTTTGATGTCCCCAGCCCCCATTCCCAAATCAAAATAAATAAAAACTGAAAACAAAACAAAAAACCAAGACTAAAAATATCTCACATTATAAGGAACTTATCTACATTAATTCTGAGTATCTGAACCAAGTATCTCTAAACAGGCTACTTCTTGGTATAATTCATAAGTATATACTATTAACATGAAAATGATCTCTATTAAATTCCACGTCTCCCTGCCAAAAATGGTAGTTTTCTTTCTTAGCTATATTATCTTCTATACATTTAATAAGTAGTCATTGAACTCCTACTGCAAAATATTATTTTTCAATGACAGAAAAATCATGTAGGATACAACACCAAATTTTATAATACATTGGGCTCCTCATTACAGATGTTCTTTTTTTTTGGCGAGGGGAAGGACAGCGTCTCCCTCTGTTGTCCAGGCTCCTGGAGTGCAGGGGCGCAATCTCACACTGCAACCTTTGCCTCCTGAGCTCAAGTAGCTGGGCTGCCCCGGCCTCCCAAGTAGCTGCGACTATAGGTGCAAGCCATTATGTCTAATTTTTTTTATATTTTGTGAAGATGGTGTTTCACCATGTTGCCCAGGCTGGTCTCAAACTCTTGAGCTCAAGCAATACACCATCTCGGCCTCCCAAAGTGCCGGGATTACAGGAATGAGCCAATGCACCTGGCCTCAGATGTTCTCATCAAAAATCACTCTAATGTAGTTGGCTAATTTGGGGAATTTTTGAGAACATGTAATGATTAAGAAATGTTATTTATATTTTCAAAGTATTTTAAAATCAAACATCAGAAGTTTAAACAAACGAATTTAAAGAAACTAAACATGGTGACATTAATGTATGCTTGGAATAATATTCTTCTTCATCTCTATCTTCTAAACAGCATCTAAGAAAACTAGCTATTCTCAATACTCTGATATCATTTTTAAAATGAAAAATGGTCTCTAAAAACTCTCAATAATTATTTCCTTCCCTTTAGTGTTTAGGGATACTTATTTTAAGGAATGAAGACCATTATCAAAACCAGGGTGAAAAGCCTGCAAGATAAAAAGCTAACCTTTTCTTTAAGAAAAAAAAAAAAATGTATGTTAATTTGTAACCTAAACTGTTGAGAAGCTAAAACATCCTTCTTATAGGATAGTACCAAAATGAAGTAATAGACACCACTTTGGATAATCTAACTCATGAGTACCTATCTCTTTTAGAGGAAAAATCTTTTAGAATACAAATGATTTTAATAACATCCTAAAAGTACCAACAGTACACATAATTCACAAGTAATTTACACTTGGCTCTGATAGTTTTGTACTTCAGTGTTTGTGTTTTCCATTAAGTAATGGAATCTGGTATTCTGAAAATTTAGAATGTTTCCAAAACGTTGTCTTTGAAACATTCAAAAATTAATATAAAGCTCCAAGGTTGCCTAAATACCAGTCTTACCTTCTGTTCAGTTCCTTCCTGCTCACCACGTTTATACAGGAAATTCCAGCATCACCATCCAGAATGCAGTCACTCTCAAGAAGAATTGCCCTTTCTAATGGTCTGACTGGCTTATACTTTCTCTGAATACATAGTAAATGTAGTTAAATATTTGAAGGAATAATTTAGACCTTTTGAAGTAGGTTAATTAGAAGGAGAAAAAGCGGGAGAGGCAGGTGAGATGACAGGTCCTCTATTCCATTAAATCATTTCCTCCTGATTCTGGTAAGATATAGGTAACATCTTGACTGCAATAAGGTAATAGAGATATTAAAAATTAACAAAGAAAAGAAGGCCTCCATGAGAGTTACTTGCCTTTGATTTTTTATATCAAGTAGATAACTATAATCAGATTTCTAGCATGAAAACAAAAGCCTGATGGGATCTACATATTAAAGACTTTACTTAAAATGAGAAAACTAGAGATGTATCATATCAAGTCCTAGAATAGTTTTAAAATAAAAAGAATAAGGAATAGCGGGAGGTGAGAGAAAATGAAAAGAGAATTATACAACCTCCTATAATTCAGATTTTTTAATTTCTAGGGCAAACACTATTTTAAAGGATTTTAAGGGTGTAAGGAATAGTCTTTGCACTAAGAAGCAAGATCCCTGGGTTCTCCTTCTCCAGAACTGCTCGTGTATTGCTGGTCAATCTATTTAACTTCTTTGGGTTTCAGATCCTAATCCATAAATAAGGGAGATACAATACTGTTAGAAGGCAGGAAGTTAGACAAGATGACCTCAAGTTCTCTTCTAGCTCTAAGATTTAGGATGTGTATACCAACTTGAGGTGGATTTTAAGAAGTCAAGATATGATCCTGGCACCAAGATACCCATGAGGGTCATCTGGCTTCATTAAGAGAAGAATGTTGATCTCTTACAAGTACATTTCTAACCCTGATTGATCATTTCACAAATGCATACTTCTGAACATGACATACCCAAAGAGAGGTATTGAAGGGTTTAGAACAGTCACCATCATTCCTGGAAACACTCAAAATTCATGTTCTACTAACAGTAATCAGCAGCACCACTGTTTTATATGAAAGTCTGCTTTCACTTTCAGCAATATATGATATTGTTTACTTATGCAAAAGAGCAAACAGTCACACACACATACACACACACACAAAACAGAAACAAAAAACAAGAAAATTCAATCTCTTTCTTCAAGATTAAGACTCTAAAGGCCATCCCTGATCTTCAACAGTTCCATGGAAGATCTAATTGTGTGTCATTTGATGAAAAGCATTCTTGAAGGTTTATATGCCACAGATATAGACTCTGAACAGGGTTTAATTCTGCTGAGATAACCATGTACTGATTATCAACCAGAAATCCTTGGGACAACATTTTTAAAAGTCTTCTCCTAATATTCTGGATCCCCTAACTACTAATTGCTGTATTAACAATGAACTATCTTTAATTCGAG